GGAGAGGAGGAGGAGGAGGAGGAGGAGGAGGAGGAGGAGGAGGAGGAGGAGGAGGAGGAGGAGGAGGACTGCGCGCGCTCCAGGGACCGCGTCGGCGCCTGGCCGGGGGCCGCTCCTCTTGTGCGCGGCGGGTGCCGCTCGCCGCGCCCCTCGCCGCGAGGTCCCGCCCCTCCATGAACGGCCAGCGCGGCGCCTAGGCGGTCCCTGGCCTCGCGCTGGCGCCTGCCGCCGGGCGATCGTCTCCTTCGCCAGAGGAGGAGGAAATCTCAGAGATCCGGCGTAGTGACAAAACATCAAGACGGAGGTTTTTCGCAATCTTCGGCCTCAAGGGGCCCTCGCCGGGCCTCGGGACCGTCAAAAAACGACTCAGGACGAAAAACCGGTCCCGGGGAATGGGTCGAAAATCACGACGTCGGACCTCTGGGATGGTACCCTGCCTCTACCCGTCGTCCGTTCTCGCCCTCTTCGGCCTCCTGGGGGGCCCTCGTCGCCACCGCTGGATTCGCCTCGGAATCCGTGTCAGGAAGCACCCCGGGAGAGGTCCGGGGCAGTAGAAGTATGGGTACTTTTTGGTCTCCCCAAGCTCCAGGAGCTAGCGCCCGCCGCCAGGAGAACGTCCTCTTCGGCTTCGTGCCTGTCGTCCTCCTCCCTCTCGTTCGGCAGCAACTCATGGGAGCCTGGCATACCCTCTCAATTCCGCCTATAGCGTCGAGTAGCGCCGATTGGCGTCTGGGGGTAGATGAGATAAGTATCGCCAATTTAGCGTCGACTTAGCGTCGACTTAGCGTCGACGAGCGTCGAGTCGCAAGAGCCGACAAGGTGGTACGGGAGGCTCCTATAAGTTGCCGCCGAACTCTCGACCGCTGCTTCCTCTGTGACGTCTCTATACGTCTCTACGACCACACGGCAGGAGCGCTTCTCTCTCCTCTCCCCTCCGAGGCTGCTGGGGAAGTAGCCCGCCCCCCTCCGCGCGTGGTGCTTTTTCTCACGCTCCTCTCCATGGCCTCTCTCTTCCCCACCCCCGCTCTCCGATCGACTCCGATCGCCTGCACGCTCTGGCGGCCCGCGTGGGAGTTCGTGGGGAGGCCCCCGGGCTCTGGCCCGAGGTTGGCTGCACGTCCTGCCTCGGGCCTGCGCGCCCTCCCGCTCCCTGCACGGGGAGGCGGGAGGCAGAGGCGCAGTGGCGCACGCTGCTGCCCTGCTGCCCTGCTGCAGGGGGGTGGGTGCCGCTCGCGGGGCACGGCCCAGTCTATACCGCGCCTCGCGGGCATTCGGCGATGGCGCGCGAAGGGCCCCGGGCCACGGGCTCAATTAGCCTGGCTCCCGGACGGGAAGGGCAGGGAGCAGCAGCGGGAGGCGGAGGAGCAGGAGGAGGCTCGGCATCTCGAGCCCGCGCGCCGATCGAAGCAGGGCCAGCCGCGCCCACGTCGAGGAGGGTCAGGCTGCCGGACGACGACATCGGAGCAGCGGGGGCTGAGATCGCAGAGGAACGGAGAGCCCCCCAGCGGGAAAACCGGTTCCGGTTTCGTGTTCGTGTCGCGCGTGCGGGCGAGGCGAAGCTGTGAGGGCGCGCGAGAGGAATGACCCCGCCGTCGCCGTCGCCAGAGCGACTCGGATGCAGTGGACCGCCCATCCGCTCCCAGTGGGCGCGCGTTGGCCCGGGGTGTCCCGCCGTGATGTCCTGTGGTGTCCCTCTGGTGTCCCGTCGGTATTCCGTCGGCGGTGGGCGGGCGGTGGTGGGGGGTGTTCCACCTTGGTGCCGATAGTGAGGTCGATAGTGAGATCGATACATACGGCGATCGCTAGAATAGGACGGCCTGCGAGATCAAAAATGGTATCGCCAGTGAGGTCGACTGTGACATGGGCTGTACTCGCGCTGTCGGCTGCGCAGGGGGGCGGCGTCCCCTGGGTCGTGCAGATCTCGATGGGGACGGGCGGTCTCCCCTGGAGCGAGCACAGTGGGATCGCTCGCTGCATCCGCTGGTAGGTACTAAGACTGGCCGTGAGGTCGACAGTGGGATCGATCGAGCCAGAGCGAGAGCGGGGACGATAGCGACGTCACAGCGCAGCGCAACGTCTTCATCAAGCGGCGTCGCTGGCTCGAGGGCGCGTCGCCAGCATCGCCATCACCACACCCATTGCAGTTGCCAGCAGTTGGTTCTTCCCCCCTCCCCCCACGCCCCGGCCTCCTCCTCACCCGAAGGGTGGTCGCGTAGGTAATCATGTGCGCCGCTGGTTCCGATGTGGTCCACCTGGCATCGCTCGGACGTGTGCATTTTTTTCTCGGCGAGGACCATCCAGGACCATCCTGGACCATCGAGCAAAAAAGACACGCACGAAACCGACAAATGCACAGGAAATGGACGTCCGAGCGATGGCGAGTCCACGGTAACTGGTTGCTCTGCGCGTCGGCCTTACCGCCAGACCCGGGCATCTGGAGGGGGATCGGCCCTCGCACGGCGTGTGGGGGGGTGGGCGACGGAGGGTCGCGTCTGCCGTGCCCTCGTGCCCGAGGTTGCGTCGGGCATGCCCCTCTGCAGGAGGAAGTTCCAAACATAGTCAGAAAAATAGTCGGGGGACGATTTGTTTTGTCACTATCATTGTCTATTCTTGTTATTTGCTGACCATGTTTCGCTTTTCGCCCAAAGTCCGCCTGCAGGAGGACATGCCCGACCGAAGCCCCAAGGGGATCTGCCCTGGGCCGTCCGCTCAGAGTGGTGGCGTGGCGGGGGGAGCACGGCACGGGAAGGGCGATGCCGAGCTATCGGACCGTCGCCGAGTGTGGCAGGAAAAAGTTGTGGCCGGTCGCGGGCGTGCCGCATGCGGGCTGCATGGGGGGCGGGAGGAGGAGGAGGAGGAGGAGGAGGAGGAGGAGGAGGAGGAGGAGGAGGAGGCGGAGGCGGCGGAGGAGGAGGAGAGGAGGAGGAGGAGGAGGAGGAGGAGGAGGAGGAGGAGGAGGAGGGGGAGGAGGAGGAGGAGGAGGAGGAGGAGGAGGAGGAGGAGGAGGAGGAGGAGGAGGAGGAGGAGGAGGAGGAGGCAGGAAGCAGGAGGAGGAGGAGGAGGAGGAGGAGGAGGAGGAGGAGGAGGAGGGAGGAGGAGGGGAGGAGGGGGGGGAGGAGGAGGAGGAGGAGGAGGAGGAGGAGGAGGAGGAGGAGGAGGAGGAGGAGGAGGAGGCAGGAGGAGGAGGCAGGAGGAGGGGAGGAGGAGGGGAGGAGGAGGAGGGAGGAGGAGGAGGAGGAGGAGGAGGAGGAGGAGGAGGAGGAGGAGGAGGAGGAGGAGGGAGGAGGAGGAGGAGGAGGAGGAGGAGGAGGAGGAGGAGGAGGAGGAGGAGGGGAGGAGGAGGAGGAGGAGGAGGAGAGGAGGAGGAGGAGGGGAGGAGGAGGAGGAGGAGGAGGAGGAGGAGGAGGAGGAGGAGGAGGAGGGGGGGGGAGGAGGAGGAGGAGGCACTCTTCAACTGGCCGTGCCAAGACGCGGCAGTCGTTCCGCCCTCGGGCGCCTCTCCGCGGCCTGGCCGCGAGATAGTCCGAGCAGCCTCGGAGCCCTGCCCGCCGCGCAACTGCGCGCCAGCCCTCAACTGCCCTCACCTTACCTGCTCCTGCCCCGACGGGCAGGGGCTTGTGGTACTCGTCGCAGGCATCGCAGCTGAGGTCGCCCATCTGTCACACTGGGTAGGCAGATGGCAGGCTCCAGGTTGCGCCTCCCAGCTTCACGCTCCGAGTCGTGCCACTGCACGGCGGTGCCTGCGGAACGCATGCTGCGTAGAGCACAGCGCGCCTTTACTCGCAGGTGCTTTCCATTTACGATTCCATACAGTGGCTACTGAGTGGCAAACGCCCCCCACCCCACCCCCAAAAGAAAAACACACACAGACACAGACACAGACACAGACACCAACACACACAGACACACACACACACCCACACACACACACACACACACGCACACACACACACACACACGTACACAAAGGTTCACGTGTCCGCACCGCGGAATCCTCCTGCAGCCGCGCGCCCACAAGTATTGTGAAGCCGCTCGTATCCCTCCACATGTCCTCCCTGCCACCCTGCCGGGGCCGCAACAGTCCGTGAGAAGGTCGGTGGCTCGAGCCCTCCCGCAGCAGCCCCCCCAGCGTGAAGCCCCGGTGGAGCGGCAGCGCCGCGAATGGCAGCCCCGAGCCGGCAGTGCGACTACCAGGCCGCTCCGCACGAGGGCGCGGCGGCGCTGACCGAGGAGGAGGGCGGCGTCAGGCTGAGTCGGGCATGTCCCTCTACAAGAGGAAAACTCAAAAATAGTACTAACAAACATCAGGGGACGATTTTTAAACAGATTTTTGGCCAGTGTTGCATGTTTTTGTTGGCCAATTTCTCATTTTTCGTTTAGAATCCACCTGTAAGAGGACATGCCCGACCTAACGTCAGGCCCGCGGCGGCGCAGCGGCTGCGGCGGCCGGCGGCGGCGCTCGGGGTCGCGGCCCTGTTGGCCTGCGCGGCGTCGGCGGCGCTGGCGCGCTCGGGAGGCGCGGGGGCACGGCCGTCGTCCGGGAACCCCTTCCTTCGTTATCTGACCAGCCTCGCCAAGAAGAAGGCGGATGCCAGCACCTGCGCGGCGGACGGCGAGGGCTGCCTCGAGTCCATGTGCTGCCAGGACAGCTCGCAGCAGTGCTTCCGCAAGAACAGCTGATGAGCCTGTTTTCCACCACCACCACCACCAGAAGTTGGAGGGGGGGAAGGAGGTGGAGGAGGAGGAGGAGGAGGAGGAGGAGGAGGAGGAGGAGGAGGAGGAGGAGAGGGAGGAGGAGGAGGAGGAGGAGGAGGAGGAGGAGGAGGAGGAGGACCCCCTCCCCTTCCAACCTGTCGTGGCGGTGGTGGAGAAAGCAGGCCCATCCCACAGCGGCTGGGCCGCGTGCCGCGCGAGCTGCTCGCCGGGGCTCGACGCGAGCGACCCCACGGGGGAGCCGTGGTCCTGCGAGCCGCTGGGCGCGGCGGGCGCGTGGGGCTACGCCGAGGGGCGCGCCAAGAAGGTGCTGGAGGAGCAAAAAACATCCGACGAAGGCATCTATACACCACCACCGTGCCAGGCCAGGGTTATATCCTGGGCCCCCAGGATGGTGTAGAGGCCCTCTTGGCCTCGGCCAGGGGGGGCGGTATGCACCCTCCTGGGGCCCAGGATGGCCCTGCCTTGGCACGGTGGTGGTGTATAGATGCCTTCTGCGAAAAACACAGACACAATGCATCGTCGATCCCCAGGAAGCTGTAGGGGAAGCTGTGGGAAGAGCGGGGGGGGGGGGACGAAGGCCCAGAAGATGTGGGGAGATCTGGGGGATCCTGCTGTCTGTGTCTGCTTCTCTGTGTGTCCCTGGGCCCCTTCAAAGGTGCTGGACAACCTGACGCTGGAAGAGAAGTGCCACCTGCTGCGCGGCCAGAACGACGGGTGGCCAGCCGACCGCCACGGCTTCGCTGGCTACGTGGGCATCGGGTACACTTACTTGGACGCGTGGCTGACCAAGGTCGGTTCGATCGAAGCGGGTATGGAGGGAATGGGTACCCAGACTCACAGCAGTCCCTGTCCATTTTGAACAGGACTCGCTGTCGGTGCCGCCGCGGACGGTGTCCATTTGAGACAGGAGGCCGCCTTCCCAAAAGCGGCCGCTGTCGGTTTTGAAAAACATCTGAACCCATTTCCGGCGTCTGAACAACCCATCTCCGGCGTCTGAACCCATTTCCGGCGTCGGTTTTGAAAAACATCTGAACATCGTACCCACCTCTTCCATACCCATTTCCGGCGTCTGAACAAGGGGATTATGCCCTTGAGCATGAACGATGGCCCGCAGGGGTTCAACAGCTACGGGATCGCCCCGGGCACCAGCACTCAGTTCCCATGCCTCCTCGCCGTGGCTGCCAGCTTCGACCCGCAGACCTCCGCGCGGTACGCAGGGGCGATCGCGGAGGAGTTTGTCGGCAAGGGCGCCAACGTTTTGTTGGGCCCAGACGTGGAAGTGACGCGCACGGCGATGACGGGCCGAAGCTTCGAGACAATCTCGGGCGAAGACCCTTACCTCGGGAGTCAGCTGGTCAAACCTTTCATCAAGGCAGTCCAGGACCACGGCATCATCGCGACCCCGAAGCACTGGCTGAACAACAACCAGGAGATCTATCGGCAGTCCATGAATGTCGAGGTCAGCGACCGGGCGCAGCACGAAATCTACATGCCAGTGTTCAAGGCTGCTTTCGATGCAGGGGCCGCCTCGGTGATGTGCTCGTACAACAAGGTCTACGGGCAGTTTGCGTGCGAGAACGAGAAGTTGCTCCGGGAGCTGCTGCGGGAGAAGCTTGGCTTTCGAGGATATATCGTCTCCGACTGGGGAGCCACACACGACGCGGCCTCTTCCGTGAAGGCTGGCATGGACGTTGACATGCAGACAGACGACCCCGTGCAAATCTTGGAGGACGAGTACCACAAGCTGCCAGATCTCGTGGAATCAGGCGAGGTGAGCGAGGACTCCATCAACGAGATGGCCACGCGCGTGTTGGCGGCCATGTTCATGGTCGGCCAGTTTGATGGGCGCTTCCCGGCACCAGAAAGCTGGGCGTCCGCGACCGTCGGGGACCAGCGCGAGAAGGTGACGGACGTGATCCAGTCCGACCAGACCAGTGACAGCCATCAACGGGGCCAAGAAATATACACCACCACCACCACCACCACCTCCCTGACCCCATCCCTCCCCCAGGAAAGAGGCGGGGAGGAAGAGGGGAGAGGAGGGAGGGGGAATGAAGGTGGTGGTGGTGGTGTATTCTCTTGGGGCCCGCGCCATCGTGATGTCGCGCTGCAGACGATACTCGACAGCGCGGTCCTGCTGAAGAACGAGGGCGCCGTGCTGCCCCTCGCCGGCGGACAGAAGGTGGTGATGGTCGGGAAGTACTGCAACCAGGACGAAGACAAGAGTTACGGTCAAGGATCGTTGCTGGGGGAGCAAAACTCGGAAACTGTAGCATACATAACTTACCAGTGGCGGGCCGTTTCTCGATCCCAGGACGTTTTTTGAGGGTCGGGCACGACGTCGGGGTGGTGTGGTGTATACTCGGTTCCCCGTTTTCCAGGGGAAACAATGAACAATGTATACACCAGGATCTTGTATAGCTTCCCTGGGCTAATTTCAGCACGTGGCCGGAAAAAGCGGCGTTGCATAGAGTTCGGCTCCCTGCAAACAGTGGCATAAAAACAGAAGAACTCGAAGGTCCGCCTGGATTTCTCGGACCGACGCTGGACCCCCCCGTCCCCGGCGCGCTCCGCGCGCCGGGGCGGAGGCGCCGCCGCCGATCCGAGGAGTCCGCGCAGACATGAAAGTTTTGATGCTGCTTGTTCCTCCAAAGAATCGGCTTACTCTGAGAAGCCCTCGCGCCTTCTGAGAAGCTTCCTGCGTCTTCGGGAAAGGCTGAGACACCTTCTCAGAAGGCTGGGAAACTTTTCCAAGCCCTCTGGGCAGGCCCGGCCCTTCTCACTTTCCCCCCCCCGCGCTCGCCGCCAAGAGGATCGGTGTACTCTGGGGGTGGCAGCGGGTACGTGGAGACCAAGAAGGCGGTGACGCCGGCGGAGGCCTTCCAGGACGCCTACGCGGGCGCCACCTTCAGCCCGGACGCCGCGGGCGCGGAGGGCGCCGACGTGGCCGTGATCTGCGCCGCCGGCCACTCGGAGGAGGGGTGGGATCGCGAGAACCTCACGCTGCCGGAGGCGTGGGGCTTGGTCAGCGCCCTCCGCGCCCTGAACGGGGGGGACACGATGAAGATTGTGATGGTGGCGATCATCCCCGGGGCCGTGGAGACGGACTGGGTGGAGAAGGTCGACGCCACGCTGGTGCTGTTCATGCCGGGCGATCGGCTGGACGCGAGACTGGCCTCTCGCCAGAGTGACCTTTGGTGCGGGCCCAACGGGGTCCCCCGCTCGCCGAACGCGACGCGATGGTAGCGTCTTCTTGCGCGCCTCTGTTTGGTTCCCCCGCGGCTCCCGAGGATCAGGAGGGGAAAAAATACAAGCACAATTAATCGTCGATTCCCAGGAAGATATGGGAAAGTATGGGAAGTGTGGGGGGGGGGGGGGGCGAAGACGAAAACCCAGGAAACATATATTGGGAAATATGGGAATTGCTGGGATTTGTGTGTATTCATATATGCTTTCTTGGGCCTCTCTAGAAGAACCGCGCACCAAAGGTCACTCTTGCCCAGCGCCGCTCTTGCGTGTCGTCGAGGCGAGCAGGTGGGCCCCGGGCTCGCGAAGCTGCTGACCGGGGAGGCGAGCCCCGGCGGCCGCTTGCCGGTGTCCTTCCCGGTCAAGGACGAGGGCCGGTTCACGGCAAAGCAGTACCCTGGCGAGTGCGACGGCGAAGTCAAGTGGTGCCCCGAGATGACGGCGGATTTCTCCGAGGGGGTCCTGGTGGGGTATCGGTGGAACGATGCCAAGGGCGTGCCCTCCGCTTTCCCCTTCGGGTTCGGGCTGACGTACACGAGCTTCGAGATGAAGGACTTCGAGGCCAAGTGCTCGGGCGACAGCGCAACCGTTTCTCTCACCGTGGCCAACACCGGCGGGGCAGACGCCTCCGCCGTCCCACAGCTCTACGTCAGCTTCCCGAGCCTGAAGCCAGCCTTGCGCCAGCTCCGCGGCTTCTCTAAGGTCAGGAGGGGAACACACACACACTCACACACACACACAAACACACACACACACAAACACAAACACACACACAAACACACACACATATATTTGTTTTGCGTCGGCGGCTGGGCAGTGGGCGACTGCTCCAGCGGAGTGGCGACACGGGGCGCGCGCTATGCAGATTACGGCCGCAATGCACGGTGAGGAGGAGGAGGAGGAGGAGGAGGAGGAGGAGGAGCCCCAGCGTGACAGGGGGGCCGTGCTCACTCAGGCGAGACGCTGGCTGCGGCAGGGGAAGCGCCGAGGGGGGGGGAACCAGCGCCTGCACTGAGCTGCACAGTCACTGAGCCAAAGCTGGGGAGGGGGAAGCAGCCCAGAAGACTGGGCGGCCACTGGGGGAGCACCACAGGCGAATCAGAGACTCGACCCAGTGAACCAGTGGCGCGGTCCCAGGGATGAGCCGTAGCGTCGAGACCTGCGGGCCTGGCACACACACAGAGACACACACACACACCGACACACAGAATCGTCGATTCCCAAGAAAATATGGGAAAGTATGGGAAGTGGGAGGGAGACGAAACTCCAGAAGATGTTCAAAAATATGGGAACTCTTGGGATTTGTGTGTATTCATTTGTGTGCCCCTGGGCGCCTTCAATTAAGGTCTGGATTCCTGCGGGCAAGGAGGCAAAGGTGGCGTTCGCACTGGGCGAGGCCGACTGGAGCTTCTACAGCGAGGATGTAGAAGAAGAAACAAACGCATAAACATAACTTTCGGCGCTCCGCGCGGATTTCCTGGATCCGCACTGGCCCCCCCCCCGCGGGCGCCTCCGGCGCCGCCCCTGGCGCGCTCCGCACGTATGGGAGGGGGGTCCAGCGCAGATCCAAGGAATCCGCGCGGAGCGCCACAAGTTTATGCTTACGCGGGCTCTTCTTCCAGGATGACGGGGAGTGGGTCTCCGCACTCGCAGAGGGAGAGGACGTGACCGTCTTCGTGGGCTCCTCGAGCACCGACCTGGCGTGGAACCAGACGCTGGCGTGCGAGGCCTCCAGGCCGGCGAAGAAGAGCGGCGAGCACGGCAGCGAGCCCGCGAAGAAGAGCGGCAAGAAGGGTGCGAAGGCAAAAATCGCCAAGAGCTGACCGCGAAGGCGTTCTTGCGCCCCGCGGGCCGCGCAGAGCTCGGGGGAGAGGGAGGGATGTGCAAGACGAGATCTGGCCTGCGCATAGTCGGCCGCTTCTCTATTTTTCCAGGCGCTGTGCGAGCGAGCGCGCGAGTCGGCCGTGCCGTGAAGGCAGATCGGTTGTGTTTTCCAAGTGTCACGCGGACTGCTGATTAGCCGAGACGCCTGCGGCGCGTCACCACCGCCCCCTGCCTCTCGGCCACACGCTCGTGTGCTGCGTGCTCCCCCCGGTGCCTGGGGAACTCACGGGGGGAACGCCGGGGAAGGGCCCTCTCGGGGGCCATCTCGGGGCTGCCTGGGAGCTCTGGTCGGGCCTCGGGCCTTCTCCGGAGCGTTCCGGAGCCTCTCGGACCACTTTGGGGCTCTCTGGGGCTCTTGAGCCGCCTGGCGCCTTCGGAGGCCAGCTCGGGGGCCTCTCTGGGCCGTCAGTGGGGCCCTCTTGGGGCGCATTGGGGCCCTCTTGGGGAGTCTTGTGGTTGCCTTGGGGTCGTACTGGGGCCCTCCTGGGCCATCTTGGGGCCCTCTGGGGGGCCCCGCAGGCCATCTTGGAGCGATTTTGTGAGCCTCTTGGGCCGTCTTGGGCTTTCGGACGGCCGAGAAGGCGGTAATTTGATTACTGAGTTTGGCCTCGTGAGTCTCCTGGAGGTCCCCTTAGATAGAGCCCCCTTGGGGCCTCTTGTGGGGCTGTTGGGCCGTCTGCAGGGGGTCATCTTGGGCCGTCTTGGCGGCATCCTGTGGTCATCTTGGGTTCTACTGGGACTGTCTTGGGAGTATTTGAGGCGTCTTGGGATCGTATTGGAGACTACTCTGCGCCATGTTGGCAATATTGCAGGCGAGCGTTCTTGACTCTGTAGCTCTTGGGGTTCTTCGGGGTGGCCGGCGGATTGGGCCAGATGTTATTGGGGCCAAAGCGTGCGAGCCCCTTTGCAAGCAAAAGGGGGCGGTTGATCTAGTGGCCTTCGGCCCATTCCGCCACTGTGGCTCTGTTGTGGGCCAGGATCCTCTTGGATGCCTGTTGGGCTGAGGATGCCTCTTGGGCGCCTCTTGGGGAACTCTTGGTCCCGGGGGTCATCCTAGCACTAGAGGGCCTCCGGAGCCAGTTCGGGTTCCCTCCTTTCAGGGCCGAGTGCCCTGAAACTCATAGTGGTGTCCAATGTTTGTTCACATCGGGAAGAATCTCGCGATGATCTGTAGAAGTCACGCGAAACGCCCCGAGAAATCTTGGTGTTGGGACTCTGGGGCCCTTGAAGGAGAGCACTTAGAAATGCTCAGCGCAAAGAGCGGGGACAACGATACCAACGATAACAACAACAGCGGTAACAACGATAACAACGACAGCGATACCAACGGTAACGACAACAACGATAACGATCTCAGCGATATCGTTGTTATCGTTGTGGTCGTTATCGGTGTTATTGTTGTTATCGTTGTCGAGGGGATCTGATGATGCTAAAATGGGCGCCTCGCGGCACTGTGGCGGATCAGCAGCGTGTTTCGATAAACGCATGGGCTGCCAATTGTACCCGAATTCAGCCACGCGCTTGACGCCATTCACCGAGCGCGTTCCACTACTCGCAAAGCGCCTACTCGCAAGCGTCAGAAAACACACATCTTCGCCTCGTTGTAATGGATCGTAGATCCCCCGCGTCAGATCCAGGCCATTCGCGAGAAGTTATCTTGCGAGTAGTGGAACGCGCTTGTCTAGCCATGCGCCATCGAATGCCAACGTTGTTCTGAACATGGTTGCAGTGGCGACTGGGTATGGCTTCAGTCTCAGCCTGCCGCGGACAAAGCGAATGCGGCAGCGACCCTGCCGCGGACAAAGTGAATGCGGCAGCGCCGAAGTATTCTGCATCGCCGCACCACCAGGCAGCCCTGTTCGTGCGGGTGCCCGCCTGGTTCGGAGAAATGACAAAGTGACACTCGAGAAAAGCCCCAATCAGTAGAAGGTCCAAACGAAAATTGGCCCGCAGTTGCGCCAGAGGGCCTAAAGAGGCCAAAAGTACGGATCCCATTTGGTTGTACAAAAGTTATAAATTGCGTTTTCGCTTTTTCAGGCATTCGTCGGTGCAAGCTGGCCCAAGACGCCTCCAAGCTAGACGATCTGAGAGGGCCCGTCGACGGCCTCAAGGCGGCTCCACGACGGCCAGAAGAGACCGCCCAGACGGCGAAGAGGGCCCCAAGACGGCTCAAGAGAGCCCGAAGACGGCCCAAGAGGACCCCAAATGACCCCCAAGACTGCTCCACAGGAGGCCAGGATTACTCCAGGACGACCCCAATGAGCTCCCAGAAATGAAGCTGAGAGGAATCACAAGTGACGGCGTTCCTCCTATTTCTCCTCCTTCTCACCATCATTAACAGCATCCTCCTCATCATCATCATCACCATCATTATCATGATGATCCAAATCATCAGCAGCAGCAGCATCAGCATCAGCATCATCATCACCATCACCATCACCATCAGCATCATCAGCAGCATCATCATCATTATCAACATCATCATAATCAACATCATCACCACCACATTCGTTATCATCACCTTCACCTTCGCCATTGCCACCATCGCCACCATAGTCGTAGTCGACATCATCATTATCATCTTTATCACCATCTGCATCGAGATCGCCATCAGCAGCATCAGCATCAGCACCAGCATCCTTATCATCACCATCAACCTTATCATCGCGATCAACGTCATCGTCATCGTCATCAGCATCATCATCCGCATCATCATCAGCATCATCATCATCATTATCATGACCACCACCACAATCGTCATCACCATCGTCATCATTATCATCATCGTCGCCGTCATCATTATAATCATAATCAGCACCCCCATCATCATCATCATCAGCAGCATCATCATCATCATCACCGTCATCATCGTCATCGCCATGGTCCGTAGCAATTTTGGTTCAAGCCAAGTTGGCTCACGGCTCTAACTTGTGCCCTGGACTTAGAATCTTGGCTGCAGCCGACGGGGAGGCTCAGGCTTGGAGGTGGCACAATGCCCCCGCTGTTGCTGCTCGACTCCTCTCGCACCAGCCCTTGTTTGCATCACAGCAGCTGCCATGGCACATGAGGGGTCGCCTCCGTGGGCGTCGGATCTCCGTGCGAGCTTTGGCAACCTCGACAGCCGCTTCACGTCCTTGGACGCGGAGCTGCGCGGCGGCATGCCGCCCTTGCGTGGCGACGTCAACGCGGCTGCTGCGCGCATGGACATCCTCGAGGCTCGGCTCGACGCCGCCGGGGGCGACACTGATGAGAGCACGCGCGGTGCCGACGATCTCTCCCAGCGGGCCAGCCGCATCATCAAGCTCGAAGGCACAGGCGCCAGCATCGGGCACACCCTCGCAAACACGGGCAAGCAGCTCGAGAATATGGATCGTGGTGCCGACCCTGACGCTGGACCACCACCAGGGGCCCGTCGTCGTCTGCGCAGTCTTGAGTCGTCCCCATCCACGGCTGCTACAGGCTCGTCCACCTGGGCCACTGTCCCCCGCAATAGCATCCAGCAGGAAGGCACGTGAAGGCTGGCCGATGCTGGCATCCACCTTGTGACAAGTTCGGCTTCAAGCAACGCCGCAAGCCGATCATCACACGTGCATCACCAAAGCGTTCGACATGAATCGGGCGGCCATATGTGAGTTCGGTGACGCGCTCTCGGCCAGTAACTTCCCGTGTCCAAGTACAACCAGGGCACGACCTTCGTGGACCCTCGTGGTGGGCGGCCACTTCAACTCAAACTTCGACGCGACCTCGGCCTCAAGCGCCGTCGTCTCTTCTTGGCGATGGGCAAGATTCACAACAAGGCGGGGACCCTGCTGCAGAGCACGCAGTTCCAGGTTGGCTCCAACGGCCTCGGCGGTGACATCAACGTGCTGGGGACACCCCAGTTGGTTGCCAGTGACGTGAGCGATGGCACCTTTGTTGGACCTTGGGATGTCCGCGCTTCCTGGGTTTGGCCTTAAGGCTCACGCCGACTCTTTGCTGCAGGCAGCGAAGGCTGCCGCCCGCCGTTCCTTTGAGGAGTTCCCTGGCTGCCCTGGGTGCACACGACGCAGCCGTGGTTGTAGCAGCTATAACTCGGACTCGCCGCCTAAATAGCTCTAGCAAGTCGTTGCCTTGCTCCTCCTCTTCCTCCTCTTCCAACTCGTCTACTATGGGCTCGTCGGGTTCGGCTATTCCTTCTCCGTTCTTACCGTCCACTGCCGTGTCTTATGTTACTTGGAATGCTCAGGGTCTGTTCGCGGATGTAGGAGTTGGCGGGGATCATCCTACTCGCAGACGTTCCTGTCTCTCTAGACGGCATAGTATTGTGTGCGCCCAGGAGACCTATGGGCATGAGGGGGACGCTAAGGTAATCGAGCGTCAGGTTCGCGGGAGCAGCGTCGGAATCATTTCGCAAGCGGAAGCCAACACTGGCGGAGTCCTTCTTGTCCTTCATGAGCATATTATATGTTTCTCCTTCTCCCTATCTCTTTCCTTCTCTTCCATCCCATGGCTCGTTCTCCTATTGTTCCTGGTCGTGCCCATCTTTCTCGTTGTATAGGTCCTCGTGGTATGCTTTGTATTGTATTGTCAACTGTCGCATGCCCAACGCGAGAGATGGCACTCCGCTGTATGGCCGCATCTTGCGCGCCAGTCCAGGTGCCTCGCCTCCTGCCGCGGCTGCGAGCAATCTTATCTGAGGCGATTGGAAGTCTGCCCTTTCGGAGGAATGGGGGATGGCAAAGGATGGGCAAACTTGGCATAGCGGCGACCGGTTGCACCATGATGTATTTCATCAGCTCAGCGGCGGCTGGGTAGAATTTGTGCAAGAGGAGCCGACCAGGCAGGGATTGAACAACGCTCGGCAACCCACTCGTCGCGGCTGGACCGTCTTTACCCTGACTCTCCCAGGGCTCTGCTCCAGGATGCCGTCGTCTGTGAAATAAGCGCCCGCGTCAGGCATCAGTGACAAGACGACAAGGCTCGCCCCCCCCCCCCCCCCCCCCCCCCCGCATTTCAAGGTTGACGAGGAAGCCGTGCCCCCACGCGTAAGTGGGCGTTTGTTTCGCAACGCGTCGCGCTCCTTGTTGGCGCATTCGTCGGCCAACGTTGAGATGCGGGGCGCGGGGGCGGGGCGCGCTGTCCTTCTACAGGTGGGCGTTTATCTCGCAGGCGGCGGCATCGCCACGCGGTCGAAGGTATAGGGCCAATTGGGAGTCAAAGGGCCATCCGATCGCCGCTCTATCTTCTTTACCTCCCAGCGTTTCTTGCCGTGGGATGGGCCCCCGCTGGTGCCGAATTTCGTTGCGCGCCCCCCAGAGTACCGCGTACTTGGCATCGATATTTTGGAACAGATCCCAAGTGAGTGGGGCGTTCTAGAACGGCATGCTGCTTCGAAACGCACCTTATATGGACAATTTCAGCCCGTTCGCGCGATCATTAAACATCGCCCTGCGCGCGCGTGCGCTGAGAAGCATTACTGGGCGATGCACGCTATTCGAAGCGCTCGGTATCGCAAGTATCATATGTGCACCACGGCTATCCGTGCTTGCCCTGCTCTCGCCACGTATTTCGATGCGGAGGCTGAGGTTTGCAGCGGCCTCCCGCAGCTGCGTGAGCACAAGCGTCCCGTGCACCAGGCCGTCATTGAGGAGGAGCTGCGCGGGTTGGAGGTTTGCGTTGCTCGAGATTCGGGCGAAGTGACCTGGGTCCAGAACCATATTGCTTGCCAGCGTCGCAAGCAGGAGCTGTGGTGGAAGTTATGTAGTCGCGTTTATCTTTTGGGCGTTTTCGATCCCGAAGGGGTTCCTTGCCCACGCCTGGAAGAATCCGGTCAGGTTTTGGTAGACCACCGGGCATCGGTTTTCAAAGCTCCCCCCGCGGCGTCCATGGATTCCGACCTGGTTCAGGAAATCATCGAATTCGTTCCTAGGGTTCCAGATCTGGAGGTTAGTCCGACTTGGTATTTAAGCCAGCTTACTTTTTAAAACATGACGTCAGCCCGTCGTAGCACGGCCCCCGGTCTTGACGGCGCCCCGCGCCCATGCTGGACCACCAGCGCAGCACTTGATATAGCGCGCGATCTCTATAAGCACACGTACCACACCAGGAGCGAGGATATGCCGTCCAGCATGCACGATATGATCTTAATGTTTCTCCCGAAGGGCACGGGCCCGTGCGACGCCCCTGTTGGTGCCTTTCGCTCGGCCGAGTGCACCAGGCCGCTGGCCCTCTCCGACGCTGATTGCAAGTCGCTGTCGCTTGCCATCTCTATGCCGTTCAATGAAATCGCTGCTGCCCCAGTGCATGATCGTGTCAGAAAGGTGGGATTAAGGGGGGGGGGGGGGGGGCGTGTCAGAGAACGCGGCGGGGCTGGAAGCTTGGGGGCTGGAGATGCTGGGCGAAAGCCAGACGCATGCAGCCGAGTTTCTCGCAGATTTCTCTGCCACTTTCGCGTCGATCTTCGCGGTTTGGATAATTGCGTTTTTTTCCACGCGAACATCCCCGTTGAAATCGTCGCGTTTGTTGAGCAGCCCTGCAACCATAACAAAGCGTGGGTGAATCTAAGTGGGCTGTGTTACGCTGAGATTATTATAGAGCGTGGCGTGGGGCAGGGGGGCCCGGCCTCCATGGTGCTCTTTGCCCTCGCCGCCGACCCTATCGCTCGTTGGCCAGTTTGGCGCAGCGGGCAACATCTGCGCGTGATGTTGGCATCTGCCGACGACTTGCTGCTTGTGTTGACGAATGTCTTGTCTGACCTCCCACGGCTGCTGCGACTCATCGAGATCCTCGAAAACGCGGTTTGCCGAAAGCAGAACCTTAAAGAAGTGCGTGGTTCTTCTGGTCGGAGATGCGGATGTGGGGTGGCTTCAGGATGTTGGTCACGACCTTGGAGCTCAGTTTTCTATGTTTTGTTTTCTGAATTATTGCAAGTACCCTGGGATCCTCACTTGGCCACGTGCAGCAACAAATGCTTGGGGCGAGGTAGTGCCAGGGAAGGTATCCTGCCGTGCGCCAGCAAGGGTTTGCCTTGTCACTCTCCATCTCTGCCTACCAGTGCTTCGGCCTGTCCAAGCTCCAGCTTACCCTCCAGTGCTATCCACCATCGCCTGCACTCATGGCAAGCAATGAACGTGCCATGCAGTTGCTGAACGCGGCACCGAGGCACAGTTTCTTTCAGTATATGGTCACAGGCTTACGCTCCGTCGGCATCAGTATCGAGTTCCCATGCCTTCGTAGCATCGGTCACGCCAGCCAGCTGCGCCTGCTTGCCAAGTGTAAGATATTGTAGCCCACGCCAGACCATTTGAAGGCTGTACGGGAATGGGGATGAGATGATCATCGTGAGGATAGGGGGTGGGGGCAGCACACTTTCTTGACGGCTATCCAGCTGACGGTTACGCGTTACTTTGTTATTTATCAGTCTCTGCCGGCTCGAGACCACCCAACAGGGTCCAGAAGCATTTCTATCGTAAGCTTCGCTTTGCCCTCCCCGCCCAGCTTCACAACTGTCCCGAAACAGGGGTTTCCAGGCGTTTTTCTGTTTGGAGGACTGGGATTACTCCTGGGCGCGTGGGCCTTGTGATCCAGAGGAGTTGGTTCGTGGCTAGAAAGGCCCCAGCGTACCTTGGGGTATCTGTTCTTCGGATTGCGTGCCGTGGGATATGTGCGGGTTCCTGGGTCCATTGTGCTCCCAGGGGCTGTGCTTTTGGATGTGAGGTTCCGTCAGGTGTGGATTAAGACGACCTCCGAAACTATGCGGTCTGCCCTCGTCTCCGTGCTTTGTGTGAATCCCATCTCGGTTTTTCTTTCTTTTCAAGGAGATGACCATTGGATTTCGGAGTTGACATTCACCTCCTCCCTTGTCGCTTCTCCCTTCGAAATGTTAAGATATGCAAGCTGCTGTGACAGATTCGCTCACGCACACATGTGTGCGGCTGGGCAGTGCCGCCGCCGTGGAGCAGGCGTTTCACGCATCTCTGCGGCTCCACTCGCGCAGACACTCTGCGCTGCGGGCGGCCTGGGATGAAACGACAAGTGTTTGTTGCATTGTTTTATTCTCCAACAAATCGCCTTCATCGTAATCACCATCACCATCACATTACCATTATTATCAATATTGTGTTATTATTACTATTACTAGTGTTAGTGTTACGATTGTTACTGTCATCGTTAGTATTACTATCATTATTATTCTTATTATTATTGTTAACATCGTCATCATCACCATCATTGTCGTCGGTACCGTCGTCTATTGCCGTCTTCGTGGTCGTCGTCATCACCATTCGAATAACTGCCACCCTGATGGCCGTGTTGCCGCGGCGGAAATATTTGCCGCAAGGCATGTGGATATTGATCAACTTGGCTCGTACAAGCACGAAACGAAACATGCGAGCACAAACCCCGGACCCCTGGTGGCGCATGGATTTCAGTCCTTCTTCCGCGTGCGTATTGCCTCTGGAAGCCCTGAATCCCTGAACCCTTGACTTCAGAGGCCTCAGTCGGGGAAACATAAGATTCGAATGCGCCGGAACTCGGGTTTTTGCCAACGCTTTTTGACGGGCGCATCTCGGGTTTTGACGGTCCAGTTTTCGCGGGATGTGTTGGGAGCGGGAGCTCGCATCAAATTTCAGGCCCGTCAGGCCAACCCGAGTCCCCCGAGCTCGAATCGCACGTCTGCCCGACTTAGGAGATCTTCGGAGGTGCCTCGAAGTCCCCCGGGACCTCCGGAGTCTTCCGGAGGCTACGTCCTTGGAGGCCTCCGAGGAGGCTTACGGAGATTCAGGACAAGCCAGAGCGGGACAAAGACCTGTCGAAGATCGGCGGCGAGCCCGGGGGGAATTGAGAAGGGGCGGGCCGGCCTTCTGAGAAGGCTCGGAAGTCCCCCGGCCTTCTGAGAAGCTTTCTCAGCCTTCCCCGAAGACATAGAAAATCTCTCAGAAGGCGAGAGGGCTTCTAGGAAATCCCGGCGCCTTCTGAGGTCTTCTCCTTCTCGCTTCCCCCTCCTCGCTCGCCGCTGAGAGAGGGAAACCGTTAGTGGACCCCCGCCTTCTCCCAGAGTCAGAGTTGGCACGCGCGGGGAGGGCTGCGGCCTAAGTGCAGCCCATTCTCAACCCACCGCCAACATTGCAACATTGATCGTTGGGGTGTGGGGGAGGGCGTTGGCAGATGAATGTGGCATGAGTGCTCGCTAATTTCTGCCGAGGCCTGTAGATACCGTCGGGCCAAGGGATAAGGTTGAGGTCGGCTCGGGGAGGATACCCTTGTGTTTTTCGTGCCTGTTCGATGCCATTGTGCGTCCTGGGGAGGGTGCCCTTGGATGCAGGGCCGGACCTAAACGCTGTTTTGCTGGACTTCGGCTGTGTTTTGTTTTTCGATTTGGGAGGGAGGTGCAAGAAAACAGGTATACCAAAACGAAAAACAAACCGCAAACCAAACGACAGACATCGTTTAGGTCCAGCCCTGCCCAACTTGGATGTTCTGTTCGTTTTGGCCCGACGGAGGGCCTCATGTTTTTGATGGGAGCTCTTCTGGCCTGGGCCCGACCGTATTCGAGTCGTCAGACCCTCGGCCCTTCGGCCCCTCGACCCGCGATGCCCCGGCCGCTCCCCTCCTCCCTCCCTCCCTCCTGCCTCCTCCTCCTCCTCCCCTCCCCCCTCCTCCTCCTCCTCCTTTCCTCCGCCTCTCCTCCTCCCTCCTCCTCCGCCTCCCTCCTCCTCTCCATTCCTCTCCTCCTTCTCCTCCTCCCTCCTCCTCTCCACCTCCTCCTCCTCCTCCTCCTCCTCCCCCTCCCCCTCCTCCCCCTCCCCCTCCTCCTATACCACACACTGGGCAGGCGAAGTGAGAAACCCGCTTGCTGGCAGGCGCAGGCGCCCCGCAGAGATTCGCTCGGGGAATGTGGGGGGGGGGGAGGGGGCCTGGCGAAGTCGAGCATCGTCGGAAGCTGCCCCCCAGATTTCAGCAGGAGGGAGAAGGATCCCAGAGGCTCCTTTGCCGTTGTCGGGCTTCCACAGACCATCCCAGGGCAGTCAGAACGCGGCTCGGCGGCTTCTGACAAGTCCCCGTACTTTCCATTATGACTATAGATGTCTTGGACCAAAAGTGGGTCTCGCGCGTACCTCCTGCATCTGTCAGCTGTCCGCGTGTCTCCTGCATCGCTCAGCTATCTTCCAAGACGCGCCCAGGCGCGGCACCGTGGTCGGGTGGGACGACGCCGAGGGCAGGCGGCTTGGCCGGTGCCCAAGCCGAGAGCTTCTCGTCTTGCTAACGTCGTACCCGAGCTCCGGCATATCATTCAGACGGAGGGGGAGGAGGAGGAGTAGGAGGAGTAGGAGGAGGAGGAGGAGGAGGAGGAGGAGGAAGAGGATGAGGAGGAGCGGGAGGAGGAGGAGGAGGAGGAGGAGGGAGGAGGAGGAGGAGAGGAGGAGGAGGAGCGGGAGGGGAGGAGGAGGAGGAGGAGGAGGAGAGGAGGAGGAGGAGGGGGGGAGGAGAGAGGAGGAGGAGGGGGAGGAGGAGGAGGAGGGAGGAGGAGGAGGAGGAGGAGAGGAGGAGGAGGAGGAAGAGGAGGAGGAGGAGGAGGAGGAGGAGGAGGAGGAGGAGGGAGGAGGAGGAGGAGGAGGAGGAGAGGAGGAGGAGGAGGAGGAGGAGGGAGGAGAGAGGAGGGAGGAGGAGGAGGGGGAGGAGGAGGAGGAGGAGGAGAGGAAGGAGGAGGAGGGAGGAGAGAGAGGAGGGAGGAGGAGGGAGGAGAGAGGAGGGAGGAGGAGGGAGGAGGAGGAGGGAGGAGGAGGAGGAGGAGGAGGAGGAGGAGGAGGGAGGAGGAGGAGGAGGAGGAGGAGGAGGAGGAGGAGGAGGAGGAGGAGGAGGAGGAGGAGGAGGAGGAGGAGGAGGAGGAGGTGGAGGAGGAGGAGGAGGAGGAGGAGGAGGAGGAGGAGGAGGAGGAGGAGGAGGCGGAGGAGGAGGAGGAGGAGGAGGCGGAGGAGGAGGAGGAGGAGGAGGAGGAGGAGGAGGAGGAGGAGGAGGGAGAGGAGGGAGGAGGGAGGAGGGAGGGAGGGAGGGAGGGAGGGAGGGAGGGAGGGAGGGAGGGGAGGAGGAGGAGGAGGAGGACCCAAACAAGAAGGAACGTCAACGGTACGGAATGCGAGCAGCCTGCACGGCACGGAAGATACGGATCCGACACGCCCAACGGCGGCAAAACTCGAATCCGACCCGAGCCGAGCAGGGCTTACGAGCTCGTCGAAGACTGCCAAAACTTGGCCTGTAGGCGGGCCACAAGCGCATCCATTCGAGGATTCCGAATGATCGAGGCGGTGACGGAGGAGGAGGAGGAGACGTCCGCCCACCCAGCCGTCCCACCCACCACCCGCCGAATGAGGTCGCACTCAAGAGGGGTCGGCGCCTGGAGGGACTCCTCGCGTCGACGAGAGTGCGGGTGAAGCCCCGCCTCCAGGCGCCGTCGGTCGTACGCCCGCTGGGGCGTCGAGGAGGGGCGACAAGGCTTGAAGAGGGTCCCACTAGACCTCTCCTCAGCATACGCCCCACATTTACAGCAATACACAAGTACCTGATCGCGTGCCGTCCAGCACGCTCTCAGAGAGTGCCCGCCCATCCCTTCACACTCACGCAGCTTTACAAGGAGCGGAGGGGGGCCTGGGCACTGAGTGAGGGGGCGCTCGTCCTGCTCGGGGCACGACCCAAGGCACCGAGCACAACGCACCCTCCAACTACCCACCCGACACCACTCGTGCCACGACACAACCTGCGTTATGCTCGGCACCTTGATCTTCTTAAAGGATGGGAACGGGAACGCTGGGAGGACCGCCGCCGCCACACTGATCGCAGCGCGGAGGCGTTTGATCATTAGCCCGTGCAACTCAGAGGAGGCGGGAGGGGCACGGGGGTGGAGGGAAAGGGCATCCTTGGCCAACAAATCGGCCAGTTGGTTGCCACGAGCGATCCTTTCCTCGGCTGGTGGGAGCGCGGACATTACCTCTTCGGAGCGATGGGCACGGGTATGACTGACGTGCCCAATATGTATGTGTCCTGGATGCTGCAGCGCGCCACGGCGCAGTCCAGCAAAAACTTGAGAACCGTTAAGCTGGGCCTGGACAGGCTTCTCCGTTAAACGCACAGCACCCAAACAATCAGAAAACGGCATGGTGGTCCCAGGGCCCCGTTGGAATATGGAAAGCAGGGCGAGGGCGAGGTGCTCGGCCGACGGAGCCGTCTGCGGTAGAGACTCCCACACCACACCCTGCATCCTACATCGAACTTCACACTGCTCAGAATTCTCAAGAAAGACGGCGGCATACGCCGCTCGGTTGAGACGAGTGAATTCAGTTCGAGTCGCACTGCCGTCGACACACACATCACATCCCGCGCTGAGCTCCTGGAAAGTCTCCTGGGTCACAGGGTTGCCCTGGGCATCCTGGAAAACAGGAAACAACTCGGAGGAGGGAGGAGGGAAATCGTCGGGGCGAGGTTGGAACACCAGGAGCCTGGACCACAGGAGATCTTCGGGCTCATCACGCGCAACTGCTACAATCTCGCTAGACGTCGCCTCCTCCCTAGCAGCGGCAACGGCTGGGCAGCACCAGAGACGATGATGAATCGAATCGGGCTGGGAGCACAAGGGGCAGAGGCCTGTGGATACAAAACCGTGCTGTGCGAGGCGGTCCTCCGTCCACGTGCCACCAGAAAAAACTGACGCGACCACATGCTTTTGCAGAGCCGAGTATTTCTTGGAACGGACTGCCTTGACAATCAAATCAGCTGAGACCTCCTGTCCCTGCCCCTGAGGGAGAGTGGCAGCAAAACTACGGGCATGGAGGCGAAGAGTACTAGCATGCAACTGCTTAGCAAGCAAGGCAGGCGAGGTGAAAAAAACAAATCGTGCTCGATCTGGTTGTCATCGAAGAAAGTCTTGAAGTTGGTGAACGTCCATCCTAGGCGATACAAACACAACATGGCACGATGAATGGGACCAGCACTCTTGTTCCACTGCGACTGCTGCAAGACAGGAAACTTCGAGGCTACGGCATCCCACGTCTGTTGCAAGAACCTCCGCGATAATACCACACGGTCAGGTTGCACAATCGAGTTCCATACTGCCTTGCAATACTGAATGACAGGCGCCACTGCTATCTTCCAAGCTGGGTCATCATACAAGAGCATGCGAGCGGGTAACGAGCCTCCTCGGAATGGGACGAGCGCACGTCGTAGCGTCAACAGCTCTCTATCCGTCATGCCAGTGACAAGGGATCCATACGTAGCCGCAGGGCGCACCCCAGAGATATATATCTTGTGAAGCTTCGCCTTGCCCACAGAGATCCGTCGTCGTAAAGCACGGAGGAAACCAACACGTCTTTTCATAGCTCGAAACCGATTTTTCATCTGACACGTAGCACCAGGAGCAGCACGAGGACGAGCAGGAGCCAGGTCAGCACCGAGCGCAGTGGCAGAGGTCGTCGCAACAGCCGAGCGAGCACCGACTCGTGCAAGCCGTCGATCGAGTTGTCGAACGACATCATGGCAAGACCCAAAGACCACTGCCTTGTCGTGGGCGAGGCCAACCTGGAGCTCCTCCCTATAGACGGTGACGAGGTCCTGGGCTGCCTCCACGAGCGCTGGTACGAGGTCTTCACGGGGGCCCGTCATGGAAACACAGTCATCATCCACGTCCACGCCGAGGTCCAAGCGGGGGTGCCGCGCCACGAACCCATCTAGGGCCCCGAGGAGATAAATCTGCACGAAGGCGTCATTGAACACGTCGCCGGCTGGCAACCCTGAACTAGCAAACTGCACGAGAGGACAGTGGTGAGCTCCCAGTCGAACCAGGCGGGGCCCCCTCCAGAAGTTGAAAAGGACCTTGACTAGGGGCCGCGGGAGCCCACACGCCAGCGCTCGATCACGCAGGAGCACTAAGTTAAACGACTCATAGAACTTGAGGCCATCCCACAGAAACCCCGCCGTCTCCTGATCGACAGCCTGGCCCCGTTCTGCACGGACCGCAGCATGCCACACCGCCTCCTCGGCTCCCCTGCCTTTACCAAAGGACCAGTACTTGCGGGAAGACGATTCGAGGAAGGGCTCCACGAGAGGACGGCGTGCCTTTTCCCACACTCGTACAAAGGATGCAACGAGCAAAATTGGGCGGTAGCCGCCCTGCGGCTTCTCAAGCAGTGGAAAGAGAAGCCAGAGGAGCTGGGCAGGAAACAGTCCGAGGCGCTCCGTGCACGTGAAAATCACACTGAGCTGCTCAAGCGCTGTGCCGCTGGAGGAGGAGGAGGAGGAGGAGGAGGAGGGGAGGAGGGAGGAGGAGGAGGAGGAGGAGGAGGAGGAGGAGGAGGAGGAGGAGGGAGGAGGAGGAGGAGGAGAGGAGAGAGGAGGAGGAGGAGGAGGAGGAGGGAGGAGGAGGAGGAGGAGGAGGAGGAGGAGGAGGAGGAGGGAGGAGAGAGGAGGGAGGAGGAGGAGGAGGAGGAGGGAAGGAGGGAGGAGGAGGAGAGAGGAGGGAGGAGGAGGGAGGAGGAGGAGGAGGGAGGGAGGAGGGAGGAGGAGGAGGGGAGGAGGAGGAGGAGGAGGAGGAGGAGGAGGGAGGAGGAGGAGGAGGAGGAGGAGGAGGAGGAGGAGGAGGAGGAGGAGGAGGAGGAGGAGGAGGAGGAGGAGGAGGAGAGGAGGAGGAGAGAGGAGGAGGAGGAGGAGGAGGAGGAGGAGGAGGAGGAGGAGGAGGAGGAGGAGGAGGAGGAGGAGGAGGAGGAGGAGGAGGAGGAGGAGGAGGAGGAGGAGGAGGAGGAGGAGGAGGGAGGAGGAGGGAGGAGGAGGAGGAGGAGGAGGAGGAGGAGGAGGTCCAGAGTTCGCCCAGGATGCATCAGCGATGCTGCAGCGTGCCGAGGCGTCCAGCGGGAGGCCCCGTCGGGAGGAGGGGCCGCACCCCGCCCGCGGAGCGGCGGCCGAGCGGAGCGAGGAGACTGCAGCGCGTGTGCTGCCGTCCCCCCGATTTTCGAGGCTTCTCGGGTCGGCAGAGGAGGAGAAAGCGCCCAGACCTCTGCCCTTCCCTCGTTTCCCCCGCTGTCGGCCTCCTGGGAGGCCCACGTCGCCACCGCTGGACTCGCCTCGAAATTCTGGTCCGAACGCACCCCAGGAGAGGTCCTGGGACTGGCGGTATCAGTACCTTGAAGCACCCCAGATAAAGGGGGCTTTGCAGTTGAGCTTACAGTCAACCCGCATAGCAAGGATGAGCGACTTTCCAAGGTTACCCTTGCATCCTTCCCCTTCGGCCCATCATTGGCCGCTTTTGCTGGCCGCGCCCCGCTCGCAAAGTGCCGACATGGCCCTCCGAGGCCCTTGCACCCTTATCGAGGTTCCCTACGATACGGGTTGGCTGTACTATCATATGCACGACAGCTAGCGCGAGCCCAAGTTCCAGAAGGAACCGCCCTCCACCAGCGTAGGGGCCGCAGATTTCCCGGCGAGGGGCACTGCCGGCGGCTTTGTAGTCCAGGTGCCGGGGACAGTCCCGGCACCGCGCCAGGGCATCGGCGCCGCGCGAAGGAGGCTGAGTTAGATGCGCATTTGCTGGAGCTTCTCTCTGGCCTCCTCGAGTGCATCTCTGGAGGGGCACCTCTGGGAGACCTCTTGGAGGTCTCGTGGACCTCTCGGTTGCTGGGGGCATCTCATGGGGCCTCTCATGGGGCCTCTTGGGGGCACGTCTAAGTTCAATTCTGTAGGGAAAAGCGGCCAAGGCCAGCTCGATTTCCCCCTCTTGGGCCCCTCTTGAGGCCTTCTTGGAGACCTCTGTAGCCCTTTAGAGGCTTCTTGGACCGTATTGGGCCCCTCGTGGACCGTCTTGGGGGCCTTATTGGGCCGTCTTGGAGCCCCCCCTGGGCCGTCCTTTGGACCGTTGGGATCCTCTTGGGCTTTGCTTTCGACGGCCAGAAAAAGGGCAGCATGTTGAAATCTGTCAAACCTCCTAAGGAAGAGCATTGTTTGGTGCTCTCGAGGGCCTTTTGGGCGTCCGCTTGGAGCCCTCTCGGGCCATACCATGTTGGGGGCCCCTGCGGGCGTCGTGAGACCATCTTGGGCCATCTTGCGGCCTTCTTGGAGCGTTTGGATGTTTTTGTTGGGGCAGTTTTGGGACCGCTTTGTGTCTTGGGGTGGTGTTTGGCTGTTCTGGCTGTCTCTGGGCGGTTTTTTAAACTGTGGTTACTTTTTTTTGTTGTGTGTGGTTGCTGTTGTGGCTGGTTTTGCGTTTTGGGCCTGTTTTGATCCCGTTCGGGGGGGCATATACGTGATGATACAGATTCGGCTCCGGATAGGGGGGACGATGTTGCAAGGGCGCGCGCGCATCCAGGAAACTATTCAGGAGACCTAACCAGACAGCAGACGAGCATTCGAACACGCTTCTAAGACGAATGCGCAGGGCTCTGAGGCGAGAGCCCCATTGTAAAACATGCCGCCCTCCATCTTTAGCAGTGTCAGGAGCTTTTGCGACGAATCCGCCTGCTGCTCGAGCGACAGGATGGCAGCCTCATTGAGGAGTCCTTCTCGCTCAGGGGATGCGGCTCTCAGCCGAGCAGCGCCTTCAACCGTCCCAGACGAATGAGGATACCCGAGCGACCACTGGCAATCTGCATATCAGCACGACGATGATGCCGACGACTGGCCCCGGCCGTACTCCATCCGCTCCTGGATGCCCGTGTCGAAGAGGACCCGCCCTGCCGGCACGCCTGGGGGATGGCGGGGAGTGCCGCCGGATCAGGGAAGAGGGGCTGAGGAAGACGGGAGGGGAAGATTGAGAGAGAGGGAGAGAAAGAGAGAGAGAGAGAGAGAGCGACACGTATATGTAGAAGTCACATGTGTATACATCAGGACATTATATATAACATATGTTTACGTATGGAGAGAGCAATACATAGAGAGAGAGAGAGAGAAAGAGAGGGAGAGAAGGAGAGAGAGAGAGAGAAGAACAACAAAAAATGCCTGGCGAAAGACCCAACCAGTTGCAATCGTGGGTACTGCCGTCGTATGCGCCGCATTCGGTGAAGCTCTCTTGTGGGATAACAAGACGTGTGAGGGCTGTGCCAAAACGGATGCGGTGGGCGCATGCGAGCGCTGGCATCTGGGCCTGTGGTGGAGGTTCCCATGAGGCCACAAAACGTGTGAGGGGTGTCCCAGAATGGGCGCGGCGGGCGCATGCGAGCGCTGGCATCTGGGCCTTCGGTGAAGCTCCCTATGAGGCCACAAAACGTGTGAAGTGGTGTGCCAAAATGGATGCAGTGGGCGCATGCGAGCGCTGGCATCTGGGCCTTCGGTGGAGCTCCCGTTAGAGGCCACAAAACGTTTGAGGGGTGTGCCAAAATGGATGCGGGGGGCGCATGCTAGCGCCGGAATTTGGGCCTTCGGTGGAGTTCCTTATGGGGCGACGAAACGTGAGGGATGTCCCAGAATGGGTGCAGTGGGCACATGCGAGCGCTGGCATGTGTGCCTTCGGTGGAGGTCCCCATGGGGCCACGAAGCGTGTGAGGGGGGTGCCAAAATAGGTGCGGTGGGTGCATGCGAGCGCTGGCATTTGGGCCTGTGGTAGAGGTCCCTATGGGGCAACAGAACGTGTGAGGGGTGTGCCAAAATGGATGCGATGGGTGCGCCAAAATGGGTGCAGTGGGCGCATGCGAGCGCTGGCATCTGGGCCTTTGGTGGAGCTCCCTATGGGACCACGAAGCGTATGATGGGTGTGCCAAAGTGGGGGAGGAGAGGAGGAAAGGGATGGGAGGAGGGAGGAAGGAGTGAGGACGCGCGGCGCTGTCTCTTCAAAACGAGGACCCAACTCCACAGGATGGTTGGGAAAAAGAGATGGACATATTGGGATATATATATATAGAGAGAGAGAGAGAGAGAAAAAAAAAAAAGAGAGAGAGAGAGAGAAGAGCGAACACGGATGAACGAGGAGGGAGGAGGAAGATGACCAGGGGGTAGGGGGAGGGGGAGGGATGAAGAGGGATGAGGCCACTCGCGAATGCGTAAGAGGGCGAAAGGAGGAGTGATCGAGGAGAGACGAGGGGAGGAGGAGGAGGAGGAGGAGGAGGAGGAGGAGGAGGAGGAGGAGGAGGAGGAGGAGGAGGAGAGAGGAGGAAGGATAAAAAAGGTGCGCTCACGCCGCAGATCTGACAACATAATATTTCACACGTGTCCCTTCTAAGTGAGTTGCATTTTGAGCAGTGGCGTTTCCCTGCAAGACCTTGAAGACCTTGATCCCCATATCGAGGGGCTTTTGTTCCTTTGAGGTTACGGAGAAAAGCAGCATCGGCAGGGGAGGGCCTTAGGAGAGTAAAAGATGGGGACGGCAACGACGACGACGACGACCAGAAGTTCGTCCCGCGCCGAGGCGAGAGAGAACGCATCCGAACGAAAGTAGCACGGCGCCGATCCAGAGATGAGGCCTGACGCTGCAGCGGGAGTGGGCGTGGGAGCACCGCTCTCCTTCTCCATCTCCTCCTCCTCCTCCTCCTCCTCCTCCCTCCTCCTCCTCCTCCTCCTCCTCCTCCTTCTCCTCCTCCTCCTCCTCCTCCTCGCCCCGATTCAACATGCACACACGCACACATGAAGCGTCAGGGCGCGCGCGCGAGGAGAAGCCGTGTGCGGGAGGGGCGGGAGGCCCGTGGGACATCCTGAGGGAGGGGATGAGACCAGTGGAGGGCGTGGGGAGAGGGACGGCGGCGTCGGAGGAAAAGGGGGGAGGGAGAGAGGGTTGCACGAGGAGGAGGAGGAGGAGGAGGAGGAGGAAAGAGGAGGGATAATGGTCAACTCTCGGGGGGGAAGGGATCCAGTTCGCTCCATCATGGGTTCATCTTGTGAGTGGCACCTCGTATTGCTCAAGGGTTCTCTGAGGTTTGAGCCAACCCGTGCGAGAGATCACGGCGTCAACGTGTTTAAGATTCAAGCGAGTGTCTTCCCCATTCTGCTCCGTCTCCCCTGTCAAGAAGTTTTATGTCGCGGGTGCAGTGGCACACTTCAGCTCAGCGCAGGTCTGTCCAGCTCAGTTCTGTCAAGCTTAGATGGTGAGCGTAGCGTTTACTATATCCCAGCTATGTCAAGCCTTTGGCTCCTGTTGAACTTGTGCCTGTCTGTTTGCAGTCTCTTTCCGGCTCGGCGAGTCGAAGGAGCTCGCACAGGCCGATGTCTCAGATTTCAGGACGGATGAAGACAGAGGGAGAGAGAGAGAGAGAGACAGAGAGGAAGAGAGAACGAAAGAGAGAGAGAGAGAGAGGGAGAGAGAGGCAGAGATAGAGAGAGAGAGAGAGAAGAGGCAGAGAGACAGAAACACAAAAAAGAGGGGCTGGCGTCGTGCACTGGGGGGGGCGACGACTGTGGGAGGAGGAGGAGGAGGAGGAGGAGGAGGAGGAGATAGAGGTGGGGCAGGGCATCGGGAATTCGTCCTTGGACCTCAGGGTGCCGGCACGAAAGGTCGCTACGGCCAGTGCAGACGCTCGTGATCACGGTTCGGGGCGCGGAGCACCGAGCGGTTTAGCATTTGGGGTGTGGCCGGGGCCGAGGAGACAAAGAACGGCGATTGCTGCATGATCCGCTCAAGGCTAAGTAATTAGGAAGGGCGCCAGGGGTGGGTTATCCTGCCAGCATCGGGGCATCTCAGTTTGTATTCCCTCGGCCCAGGTGGAGGGTGGTCATGGACGACGGCGCCCGCAAGTCTCTCAAGCCAGCGAACATCGAGCCGTGCGACCATGCAGGTGCGGAGTTCAGTGCTCCGGAAGACGAAGACGCATCGGGTTCCGATTCGAGTCCACTCGTGCCGCAGAGCAGGGTCAGTGTCTGCGGCATCAAGGCGCAGCCAGAACTAAACGGCCAGCTAGGCACGGTGGTCGAGTGGAGCACAGAACGGAGGCGATGGAAGGTTCTGATGGACGATGGCACAGGGAAGTTGTTCAAGCCAGCCAACCTTCGAGCTTCCCAAGAAGATCTTGGAGGCGGCGGCTTCCATCCACCCACGAGGGAGCACGTGGAGGAGGAGGAGGAGGAGGAGGGCTTCGCGCAGGACCACTTCGTGGACGGCCAGTTGTCTGCGCAGGCCCGAGCGTTGGAACGAAAGGCGTGCTATCCAGTGGTCGGATTCGGGCTGCACGCCGTGTGTGTGTGTGTGTGTGTCAGCAACTCCTCCGCTCTTTCTGCAGGCCAGGGCAGTGTTTCGAGCGAGCGAAATCCGACCCGTGGGGATTCTGCCTATCGGCCTTGTGCCCACGCTGCCGCACTGCGGCCCGCAGGAGCACGGCCGGGAGTGCTGCAGGCTCCTGCGAGGTGGCCCTCTTGGTGGCATCCCGGGAGCCGCGTGCAGGCCCTTGTGGGGGCCTCCTGGGATCCGTGCGGCCGTCTGGGCAGCGCATCTTCGGAGGGCGTGGTCCGGGGAGGAGCGCAGGTACGTACGTGCCGCATGCGTCTGGCGACGAGCAGGGCGGGCCAAGGCGAGGGGGGGCGGTCTCCGCGATGAGTCGGGGGACGTCCTGCTTTGGGAGCCCTCGGGGCCTCCCGGGGAGCCTCCTCTCCGTGCCTCCGGTGCGAGCCCCCTGCCTCCCGGGAAGGCCGAGCTTCCCCGGTTCCACCCCGGGTTGGCGGCGCGGCGCGCCGCCAAGGGGCAGGCTGCCGGATGAAATGCGGGCCCGCCAACACAGACTTGCATCCCCACGCCGCTCCGCCCCCCCCAGATCTCCTAGGCTTGATTGTAAGTCGGGCCTGTCCCCCTACAGGAGGAACACTCAACAATAGTCAACATAGTCTGGGGACGATTTGTTTATTTGTTTAAAATATTGTTTGATTGTTTGTTTTGTTGGTCCAGATCGGCCTGTAGGGGGACAGGTCCGACCTAGGCTTAGCTGCTCTGATACGCCCGTGTTGAAGCGCAACGCGTACCGTGTTCACGCGTTAGTCTTAACACGCTGCGTGTTGGCTCCACGTGCTGGCCCACATGCTGGCGAACGTGTCGCGCCAGAGGTGCGCTTTCAATGTCCATGCTAGTTGAGCCTCTGGTCAACACGCCACGGGTTGCGTGTTGCGCACCGGGGCGGGTAAGCCCTCGAGTCACCCGATTCCTCACACACAGCGCCCTGCCGATCGGCGGCGAAGTCCGAAGCCCACCCTCGCCGATCCGCGATTCGGGCAACTGCATGGGCGGCGGGGTCAGGGTTCGGAAGTCGTCGAAGGCGTGGCGAAATCCTAACCCTGCCCCCGCCCCCCATCGATTCATGAGAATCGATGGTTAGCGGGGGGTACTCCGAGTTTCTTAATAAGCGTCGGGGGGGCGTCACCCCCGCCGACAGCCCCATACAGTTTTTCTGAATAAGCGTCGGGGTAGCCACCGCGCGCCGAAGGCGCTCCGACCCCCGTCGCGGCGCGACGACGAGGCGAGGTTGACCCCCGTCGGGGGGGTACCCCCCCACGCTAATTACGAAACCCAAAGTAGGGTTCGCATACCGCCACCTAGACCTAGCCGAGGCTCTCCACCCACCCCGGCAGCTCCCCGCCCTGCCGAGGGGTGTCTCCCCCCCCCCGAGGTCTGCGGAGGTCCACGCGTGGGCGCGGGGGTCCCTCGGAGGCTTCTGGGAACCGGGGGCGAAACCATTTGGATACTTCACCTTGAACACGCTATGCCACGTTGGCGATGATGGAGATCCAGAAAGACAAGGTTGATGGTCGGAACCGTAGAGTAGATCAGCACTGCCATCACAAAGTAGATGTGGGTGGTGTTGGTATTCCAGACGAGACACTTATGGAGACTTTCGGATGCCAGACAAAAAGAGACTGCTTCGGGCATCTGGAAGCACATCTGATCTCGATCCTCCTCATCCCTTTCCCCCTTCCTCCCTCGAAGAAGATCAAACAATGCATAAGCATGATTTCTCGGCGCCGCCCCTGTCGCGCTCCGCGCGCCAATGGGGGCGTGCAGCGTAGATCCAAGAAATCCCCGCGTTCCTCCGCAAGTGCATGTTTATACAGTTCATCGTCTCTCTCTCTCTCTCTCTCTCTTTATTATTTTTGTTTGTTCTCTCTCTCTCTCTCACACGTGTGTTCGACCTCCCTCGCTGAACGAGCCAGCATCGAGCTCTGGCGGTGGGGGCGGCGAACACATGGTGTGCCTCGAAGAGCGGTGGCAGGTGAGGCCTTCTTCCTACACCGCTCGGCCTGACTACACATGGTTCATCTCCAATTCTTCGAAAGTTCTTTGATTTTTGGGGGGCCAAGATCCTCTCATTTCTAACTGTTCTATTCTGGGCCTCTTCCTGGCCACTAGGGGGCCAGGAACAACTAGAAACGAGCACACTTCGAGATGAGCACACGATTAGAAATGATCGACGTGTACGCCTGGACCGCCCTCTTCTCGCAGGGGAGGGCGCCGACACCAGCCCCCCACTCCTCGCCGACCAGGCGTGGGTGCCCGGCCCCACCCTGCTCGAGGACCGATCTGCCAGGGATGCATCGTCGAGTCCAGGCCGGCCCGTGCTTTCGGCCTCCATCACCCCAGTCCTCCCCGTGGCAGCTCGCGTCACTGACTAAAACAGGGCCAGGATCGGGATAAATCGCCCCAGAGCGTTCCGGAGCGCTCTCAGAGCGTTCCGGAACGCTCTGGAGCGGCCGCGGCGCCCAATACATCTTCCAAACCCGCCGATTCTCAGAGATTTCGAGTTATCCCGATCCGACTTTGTCCCGATCTTCGCGTCGTTTTAGTCACCAATTGGTCGGCGACGGTTCTTTGATTTCTCGTCGACGTGCCCCCTCTGAACCAGCCCCTCTTCGTCGGCCGAGCCGACACGCGGACCGACTCGGGCGGGGGTGAGGGGAGCCGAGACTCGGCTCCCCTCGCCCTCGCCACGGGCTTCCGGGGGCCTCCCCGAACCCCCGACGTCGTGTTTTTTATTCGCAAAGTCGACCCCCAGTGGTCTGGACCCCTTCCCCGGGACCCGTTTTTCAGCCTGAGTCGTTTTGGGCGGTCCCGGGGCCCGGTGAGGGCCCCCGGGGGCCGAAAACGGTGAAAAAAACCTCCCGTCGCGTTTTTTTTTTTTTTTCCCCCCAACGCGAGGGCTATCTGGGTCTGGAGGCCCCCAGCAGGGCGAGAGTGCCCCTTCCCCCCGGGCCCCCGCGGCAGCCGCCGCGCCCCGGAGGCGGCCGCCGCGCACATGGGGCCCGGCTCGGAGGTTCTCGTCGTCGGCCTGAGGGCGCGGCCCGAGCTCAACGGCCAGCGGGGTACCGTGGTGGAGTGGGACGGCGCCGAGCTCCGCTGGAAGGTGCCTCCACTCTAAGCCTCCCAGATGGGGTCAGAGTAGATGGGGTCGGAGGATCGCGCCGCATCGCCGATGCATCGGCGATGCGGCTGGATGCGGAGACCGTGTTTTCCCACGCCGACGTTGCCGATGCATCGCCGACGTCGCCGATGCATCGCCGATGCATCGCCGATACATCGGCGATGCATTGGCGATGCGGCGCGATCCGTCGACCCCATCTACTCGGACCCCATCTGGGAGGCCTCTATCCACGTCCCCAGGGACCTTACAGTGAGGGCGCGCATCCAGAAGCCATATATGCTTTTCGTCCGGGCACCCCCGGGGTTCTTCGCTCCTCGCGCTGCGCGGTGGCTTCCCGCAGGCGCTGAAGGAGCTGCTGCGTTCAGGGTGCTCCAGGTTTCCCCTCGGGTGCTCCTCGCGCACGGGTTTCTTGCGATGGTTTCTTGCGGCCGCGCCCGCACTGTAAGTCGGGCCTGGCCCTCTGCAGGAGGAGTGTTCAAAAAGAGTCCAGCCTCCAGGAGGGGGGGGGTCCGGGGGAGGTGGGGGGCTCCGAGCGCGGAGGGGGGGGGCCTTCAGAGGTGGGTCTCCAGGGGTTCCTGGAGTCGCCTTGCGTGCAGTGGGACGGTGCCGCTCTCCGTTTGAGGGTGTTTCTTTGCTGTTCTCTTCATCTTAAAACAGTCATCCTGCGCGAGGGACCCTTTGACGAAGTAGTGGCGAAGCGCCCTGGCACAGCGCTTGCACTCCCTGGGTTGGTTTGTGAGTGATTGGCCGCCCTGAGACGTCCGTTTTGACGCGCAGCACATGCCGTGCTCAAAACACGTCCGTGCGAAGACGCTGCGTGTTGGCTCAGCGCAACTTGGCCCACGTCTTGGTGAACGCATCTTCGTCAGACCTGCGTGTTCGGTCTGCGGATTGAGCTCCGTGTCAATACAGTCGGGGCGCTGAAGAAGGAACCCTTTTCGTTGGGGAGGGGCTCCGTGTTCCTTGATTGTTTCAAAGTTTGCCTCGGGTTTTCCTTTGGTTTTCGATGGGAAGTAGAGGTTTAACTTCTGGGAAAGGAGGGGCCCCGTTCCTTATTTAGGGTTCCTTAGGTCAACGCCCCGACCGTATGCGGGTTGAGCTCCGTGTCAATACGCCACACGTCGCGTGTTGTTGCGCATCGGGGCAGCTAAAGGTCTGGGAGTGCTCGGCCTGGTCTTCCGCGTCCCCGCCCGGTGGGCGCCCCGCGGGGACGATATTTTTGCATTCTTTGTTTCGACTCTTTGGGAATATGTTGGGGGTATGTTTTATGTTCCTTCCAAAATTCGGAGGTTGATAGACCTCCTCCCCTGACACGTCGATTAAGGAATGGGCCGTTTTCGGTTCGCGAGAGGGCGTCGAGGCAGTCGTTTGTGCGGGTCCAGGCCCGTCGGTTTCGGTCCCAGGCCGTTTTCACTAAGGGGAGGTTTACTAAAGGGAGGTTTGTCCACCGCCGAAAAATCTGCCTGTCGGGGGACATGCCCGACCTACACCCCCGTGCGAAAAGCAACTGGTGTTTGGTGAGCCCCTGGCCCCCCATTGCAATGCTGATCGCGCGACCGGCGAAGTCCGAACACACCATCGGCACTGCATTGAACACTGAAATTGGGGGGGTGGGGGGGGGAGGTGTGTAGAAAAACACCAGTTGCTTTTTGCACGGGGGGGTACACGCCGGTCGTTGAAAGTAGGTATTTTTGGGCTCCCAGAGCCCAATCTGCTTCAAGCACCCTCCTACTTCAAGAATCGGCATGCCTTTGCTGTGTTCTGCTATTCTCTGGGGGGGCCTGGGCCCAATCAGCTTAATCCGCCTTCCTACTTAATGTTTTTATCTACTTCTCCCTTAATCCGCCTTCCGACTTCATGTTTTTACCTACTTAATTCGCACTTCGCACTTCGCGCAGCGCGAAGTTGGGAGCCTTTGACTCAAGGGGTGTTGCAGCTGGGGGTTGGTGTGTGTTGCAGCTGGGGGTTGGTTTTTGCTGCGAGCATTTGGCAGCCACTTTTGGTTTGTCTGAGCTGGTGTCCTGCATTCAGTCTTCAATGCTGGGGTGGCTGTGGGGGTGCATATTTTCAATGGGGAGGGGCGTGGTTCGAAACGACCGGGTCTGATTTGAAAACAGTTTGGGCCCGCGAAACCTAAGCAAATGTCCTTCCCCAGCCCTTGAGTTGCTTTTTGCACGGGGGGGTGAGTGAAGGGGCCCGGGGACACACAAATAAATACACACAAATAAAAATATGCCCCATATTTTCCGATATTTTCTGGGTTTTTGTCTTCCCGCCCAATTCCCATATTTTCCCATATTTTCTGGGGAATCGACGATTAATTGTGTCTGTGTTTTTTCCCCTCCTGAGTGAGCCCCGTGGGCGCCCGCGGCCGCCGCGTGGCGCCGCCCAGAGGGCGGCTGCTGGGCCTCCCCCGGGCGGTCGCGCGGCGGGCGTCCGTGGCCGCCCCGCGGGCGCCTCGTGCGCCGGCCCGCGCCGGTGGGCTCGCTTTCCACCACCACCACCACCACAAGTAGGAGGGGGAGGGGGTCCTCCTCCTCCTCCTCCTCCTCCTCCTCCTCCTCCTCCTCCTCTTCTTACTTTTCTTTTTGTTCTTCTTCTTCTTCTTCTTCTTCTCCCTCCTCCTCTCTTTTTCTTCTTCTTGATATTATTATTATTGTTATTATTATTATGATTATTATTATTATTAGTATTATTCCTCTTCTTCCTCTTCTTCTTCCTCCTCCTCCTCCTCCTCTTATGTTTCTTCTTCTTCCTCTTCTTCCTCTTCTTCCTCCTCTTCTTCCTCTTCTTCCTCCACCTCCTCCCCCCCTCAAACTTGTGGTGGTGGTGGTGGTGGGAAGCAAGACCATCACGCGTTCCAGGATGTACACGACATTTCTTTTTTCAGTGACAGAGATCGGCTCCACCGCTCCCGCCCGTGGTCACCGGCACCCCCTGGGACACTGCAAGTCACCTACGATCTTGCCGCATCGCTCATTTTTCGGGAGACTCTCCATGGGGGGGGATCCCATGGGGGGGCAGGAGGGGATCCCCCCCATGGGATCCCCTTCCCCAGGGGATCCTATGAGATCCCCCCCCCTGGGATCCTATCCCCCCATGGGATCCCCCCCCCATGAAGAGTCTTCCGAATTTTCCACATAAAAAACAGGCCATGCCAGCCCAACCGGTATCACCCGCCTCCACAATCCCTGTCAAGCAGCATCACGCGCGCACAGTCGCTTGTCTAAAAAGATCATTGTGCAAGGGGGTTCTCTGCTGGAAGAACATCCACACGCGCGCATATGCCGAAATCAACACATACACATTAGTCCTGCAAGCATCTCAACATGCAAGCATCAACCACCCATTGGTTCCAATGTGTTATATCGCAGAATGTTCGCCCGCGCGCACTTGCTGAAAGCATAGGAAAACCATCTGATTTTAGCGATCTCGTCTGGAACCCGTGGTCATTCGGCCTAGGCTCGATCTGGCCTAGGGCTTGATTTCGATTCGATGCTTGTTCTTCCCCCCCTCGCGTTGTCCCTGGGGAGGCGTTCGGGGACAAACGGGATTTGTGATGCACGTTTCAGTGCAGCTGTTGTCGGTGACCTTGCGGTTGTCAGTGCGAGGGGCCTGTGGACTCCAGAAGGTCACCCGGCGGTTGGTCGCAGCACCATCCAAGGTTTTGGCCCCCGTGCTCTGGGAAAGGCCTCCCGGATCATGTTCCCAGAGAGGCTTCTGGGAGCATGATGTTTGTTCTGGGGGAGGCCTTCGGATCATGTTCCCGGAGAGGCCTCGTTTTTTGTTGTTGTTTGTTTTGAGAGAGGCCTCCCGGATCATGTTCCCGGAGAGCCCTCCGGGAACATGAGTCTTTGACGTTCCCCGGGGGCCACGGAAAGCCCAGACAATTGCTTGTGTCCACCTCTTGTTCAGGGGGCGTCGCTCGGCCGCAGAGGGGCCGTCAACTCTTGCTGCGATTGCGATCGTACGTGCGCAGCCCCCCTGGCTCAGAGCTTTCTGGTCCACCTCGTCCCCATCCACCACCCTCTGCCCCCGAGCTCGAGGACTGCTGCTCCAAGCCTGGGGCTTGGAGGGCTTGATCCCCTTGTTCGGGGCTCCCTGTCTGGATCTGCCTTGGGGTCCAGGGGTCCTCTGGACCTTTCTCAGGGCTTCTTGGCTCGTCTGGCGCCCATGGGGGCCGCTCTGGGGGGCCCCTCTCGGCCGGGTTGGTGCCCTCTTGGGGCGGCTCACGGCCGTCTTGGGGGCCCTCTGGGGAGCCTCGTGGGCGATCCGCGGGCCCTTTTGGGGGCAGACTCGAGGCCCTCTTGGGGGGTCTCTTGGGTTGTCTTGGGGCTATCCTGCAGGCCTCCTGGGGGCTTTTCGGGCCGCCTTGGGCGGTCGGAAGCCCGAACAGGCGAGAACATCACAATCTTACAGAAACCGCAGGATACTCACTGATGTTGGCCTCCTGGGGCTCTCCAGGAGAGCCTCTTGGAGCCTCTTGAGCCGCCCTGGGCCATCGTGGTGTCAGATGGGCTGTCTTGAAAGCCGTCCTGGAGGCCATGAGGCTCCCACGAAGCCCTCAAGATAGCTCAAGAGGCCCCCAGGACGGCCCAACAGGTCTTCAAGAGGCCTTCCAGGAGAGCCCGAGGAGGCCAGCACCATAGATTTCCATCAGGTGCTTGCAGGAGTTTGAGGCTCTGGCATGTCTGGGTTTCCGACCGCCCATGACAGCCCGAGGGACCTGTTTGAGCCGTCGTGTTGCTCTCCTGGAGCGTTTCGAGGCCGTCCTGGGGCCCTCTTGGGAGCCCCCTGGGCAGTCTTTCGGTCCTCGTGGCCCGACGTGGGGGCTCTTTGGGGGGCCTTTTTGGGGTTGTCTCGGAGCTGTCTTGGGGGCCTCCTGGAGGTCTCTTGACGTCGGGTGCTGCGAGAAGTGCCCCACAGTCCAAGGTACCCCCACGGAGGCCCCCACGGCCTCCAGACAGAGCACCCTTCACGAG